TAATTGCATCAAAAGCATCACATTTCTGCGTTAGCAGGTAAATACAGGTAAACCCACTGTAGTCATCACGAAATGTTATAAAATATTTCTGACCATTCATATTTATGGGATCAATGGGACCACATAAATCTGTGTGTATTATTTCAAGGGCTTTAGTTTCTTGATGTCTACTTTTGCCAAAAGAAGTTCTGGTTTGTTTTGCTTTCAAGCACACATCACATTTTAATTATAGCCCCTTCAAATCATCGTTTAAGCCTTCTGAAATGCCTTTTAATTTTTTAATGTTTTCAACACCCAAATGACCTAATCTCCTGTGCCATAATGCCAATCCAGTACCCTTCTTTGCATAGAAGGCTTTATCTTCAATTTTTACATTCAAATTCACTGTAAATAGTCCGTATTTATCAAGATTTCCTGTTATAACTTCATCCCCGTTCTTAATGACTTTTACTCCTGCTTCCGAAAAAATGACTGTTCCTCCATTCTTCACAATGCAGCTTACAGACAAGAGATTAGCACAAATTTCGGGCGAATACAACACTTCATGCAGTACACATTCATCTGAAATTATCTTTCCTTTCATATCAATTTTTATCCCTGTGTTTTCTTTCGCACTGAATACTGTTGAGTTTGTTTCACTCAATTCACTGAACATGTTCCGATTGTTTGAGAGGTGACTCGTGCAGCCAGAATCAATCACCCATTTTTGTTCAATTTTGGCTTCATTACCTAATGTTTTTAAGAGCCATAAATGCCACCTTCTTTTCGTCTTTAATTGGTTTTCTATTATTAGACACATTTGATGAGCTGCTCGCTCCCTTATTTCTGAAAAAACATTGACTCTCTTGATGGTTGGTTTTCTTGCAAATTGAACAGGGTCGATAGTTCTCATATTTTCCAGCTTTCTCATTTTTTTCCTAACCAGTATTGTTAGTTTTTGTCTTGTAAAAACGCGCTATGTGACCAGCGCGGTTACACTTGAAGCAAGTTCTTGTTTCTTTGCCAAAGAATGCAACTGACTCCTCAGGTTTTACTGATTTTTCCCGATTGTGTTCTCCTAAATGCTTACTTTTTAAGTTCTCGAGAGTCCTACTGCCGGCTGGTACAAAATCCCATCCGGTTTTGAAGTTCCTGTAGGAATCCGGGAGGCCTTGTAATATCTTATTAATGAGCATCTCATTCTGAAGCCCTGGTTCTAGACTTTTTAATTGTACAAACAAGGCTTCAAGTTTGCTTATGAACGTCATGACATTGCCATTCTTCACAAAGTTTAAACCAAAAAATTCCTGGTACAGGGAGCTTTTTTCTTGTTCCGTAGTTTTACCAAACAGATTTTTTAGTGTAATCCACATGTCTGATGCAGAGGTACTAGTTAAAATATGCGTTAACAAGTTCTTTTCAATGATTGTTATTATTACCTTGCGCGCCATGCCGTCTGCGTCATTCCACTTTTTTAAGTTGTCGGCATCCAAGAGTGGTTTCTTCTCGTTTCCGACAGCAACATCGTAAACTTTTGCAGCTTCTAAAAAAATTTTAATCTCGAACTTCCAAATCTGATAGTTTGAGGTGCCTTTCAGACGCGTTATCGTCGAAAAACCCGAACTTGCTAGGATGGTATCCATTGTTTTAATATTTTTATAAATTTTATGATCAGGGCTGATCAACCAAAAAAAAAGAACATAAACTGTCCGCTTATTCACGAAACAAAAATTGTCCGCAGAATTTTCGGATTGGACACAAACACAAACTAGAAAACGAACGAAACCAGGGTTTTTATTTTAAAAGGAATTTATAAACACTATTAAGTTTTAATTTTTAATTTTTTTAGCCGTTTTTAATTTTTTAAGTGCGACTCGCACAACACATTTTTTAATTCTTAATAACTCCTTTTTTTATTTTGAAGTGCATTTTATTTTTTAAACTCGCGCACCAACTACTCTTTGCTCGAGAGCCATATGTCTTGCTTCAAGCTTTTTACACTTTTGTCTTAAGTAAAATATTATTAGAATGAGCACAAGCACTGAAACAATCACATAATGAGTGATGTCATGAATGTCGAGATCATTTTTTATGGTCACGGTATTTTCATCATTGAAGAAACCCATTTTTCACACTTTGAACTGGAGTGCGATTGCAGAAAACGAGGACGAGCGCGATTGCAGAAAACGAGCACGAGCGCGGAAGCACGAAAGATGGTTTCTGAAGAAAACGAACGATTTTCATTTTTACTTTTAGTTTTCTTAATATGCAGGTTTAATTTGCGAAACCTGGGCCGCCATAACCTGTTGTTTATAATTTCTTAAATTGAACGCATCGAGTTGGGTAGTGAAGAAAGAGTTTTATTTTTGAAACATGGTGAGCACCGAGAGAGTCGTCACAAGCTACTAGACGGGGGGATTTCGCAATGGATGGAAAGAACAGCGAACATGAAAAGTGCATGACAATGCATTCCTTAGGTTTTACCTCGTTGCCACGTCTCATTTTAATGCTTAAATTACTCTCATTTCAACATACATTGTTTAAATGGGAAAATTCGCAACTTTACCACGTAATATAAAAAAACCTGGGTCATATTTTGAAAATCTGAATAGAGTTGGCTTATCTAGAGACAATTGCCCGTCGATATAGCCGCAAAAATCATGAAAATCGGCCCGGTAGAACGCTGGAACTAAGCGTTACCAGTTACGCAAAATTAGGAGGTCTTGGAGCTTATAGTATAGATGATTACCAAAGATCCTAAAATGTAGGGTAGGTGGTGGAAAAAGGTCACACTTTTCCGTTGCGGCCGTCTGTCAGCCGCCGCCGTATCGCATGGACATTCTGGAGATGTGGTAAAATATCAACTGTAGACCCTTAGGCATGAAACGGCACACTTTCCAGAATTTTGAATGCATTTCCGAAATTTTTACGAACTTTTCCGGAAGTGCGGCCTCTTTCCCCATATATGGGGCAAACGGTCGCACTTACGAAATTTTTGAAAAAAATTCATAAAAAATTCGAAAATGCTTTTAAAATTCTGGAAAGAGTGCCATTTTGTGCCTATGGGTCTTTAGCACATATTTTACCACATTCCAGAGATTTACAAGCGATACGGCGGCCGACAGACGGCCGAAACGGAAAAATGCGGCCTTCTACCCCCACCTACCCTACCTGTACCGACCAAAACGTCACGGGGCAGAAAATCCTCAAGATGCAAACACCTCCTTTTTTTTCACTAGGTATTGACGTCATCGTGACATTCACAAGTCTCTAATGCCACTGATATATCCTTAGATACTTGTACACTCGCCCCTTAGCGGAGAATGATCGCTCTGCCGAGCAATTGGTCACCGATACGGAAAGGTATATGTATAGCAATTGAAATATTCGGGTACTTATCTTGCAAATTTTTCTCGAGCAAAATTGGATACAGTTTTGACAAAGGAAGGTCTGTCTGGCTAAAAATCGAACCATGCGAGGCAATAAAGTCGCTGCACGGGGTGGCCCTCCCCTCATAATTCATAGCGCATGAACAAATAAAATTCTGTGTAATTTCGCGGAGAGAGTCAAGAAATAATTTCTTATTGAGCGGCAAATTTGCCACCTTGAAGTTTCCCATGATTTTCAGAGAGGATTGAGATGACTCACCCGGAGATGGAATCAATTCAAAATGGAGGTCGGTGCCCTGCCGTTGCCCAGTACTTAGTTTTTCCCTCATTTTTTTCTCTCTCCTTTCTTTTTCTTTGAAAGAAAAAATCCGAAATTTGCCCCCCCCCCCCCCCCCCCCATAAATCCGGCTCTGCATGCAGTTTCCCTGTCGCGAAAATCAAACCAAGTATTTCAGAATCACACCTTTAAATGCGATTTTCTCAAAACTATGTGTTTTCCTGTAGGTGGTTATTCCAGCTAAAGCCTCAATTGTTTTACTCTGATACTAAATGATCACCTGCCGATGAAAAAATAAAAAAAAAACCCCTTCGCCAATTGAGGGCCACTCTGATTGGCCAACGCAGCCAATGCCTCAGTTATCGATGCTCTGATGGCCCAGAGATGATTGTTGTCTTCCTTAAACATCCACTAGTTTGAAGTCTCAAAGCTGACTTGTTAAGTACGGCCTCTCCATTCTCTCAAGGCCGTCAAACCAATCCTCTGCATAGACGATCAAATACCCGAACCAATTCCGATCAAAGTAGCATCAAAGTGTCGGGAGTCATCAGTCTGAAACTCATTAATTTGCTTCATTTAAAAATGAAAACTTGGCAGAAATGTTTCCTGTGGCAGAAAATGATGGATGGTGGTACTCCGGTCTGATCATACTTCGAACAAAAAAGTGCGGCCCGTCAAAATTAGATGGTAGATGGTGACCACCAGTCATCAACATGTCTACTTTGATCGGAATTTGATCGTCTATGCAGGGTTTATTGCTGCAATCATGAATTTGGCAGCTGAATGTGGCAGTCAACAGTCAGCGCTCAACGACTAAAATTTCACTAATTTGAGTTATTTTCATCCAAATGTGTGTCAAATCTATTCGAATAGATCAGACAAATCTGACATTATCCGATGGTCACTGAGAATTGTTGCTGAATTTGGCGCGTCAAACGCAATGTTCAGGCATCGAGCCGATGGCTTCCACATTCCAGCCACATTCAGCTCTCATATTCAGCATGTGATTGCAGCAATACGCAACAGTTTAACGACAATTGTTAGAAGGTACACAAGGAGACTTACCTTTCGGGAAGATTAAATAATGACATTTCATGAGATCATATTCCAAAAAGCAGCAAAGCTCAACTATTCCTGTGAACATGAAACCGCCCTTGAGAGCAGAGCAGAGAGATGGGTGTTGACCGATTGCCATGAGAACAATATCCCAGGTCTCACCATGAGTACAAGATCTTCGAAGACAGGGCACGAATTACGAAAGATATCGCCTCCTCATGGGTTGAAGATGTACTCCGAATGAGACTGGACACAACAGGAAACTATTGGAAAACAAATAATAGGATTTGCATACTTACATCACGAAATTGTATCAGTCCCAGTTCTCCCAATTCGGAAACGCAAGCGTAGGCTGCCTCACTCTGCAGGAACATCTGACATAATGTCATTTCCTCACTCCGAAATAACGATCCCATTTTGGATGGGTTCTAGCCTTTTAGCACTTCAAATAAGAATGAAACAAGTAGTTTTTCGCGTATGACATGAATACGAGAGCTGACAGGAGGATTCTACGAACTCACTAATCATGTGATCTGATCAGCTGACATCAAGAGCAAATAGATCGTATTCGATACATCAAACAGGCGTTCTATCGATGCGATATACTTGATATCGATTGGTTCAAAACAATAGCTATGTTTATGCGAGCCTCTTAACCTAACTTCAATCGAAACCTGAGTTTGAAACCAAGGTTTAAATCACGGCATAAACGATACGGAACTAACGAAATGTAGGTTTCCGAAATTTGTGTTTGAAACCTTATTTTACACTAAAGACTAGGTTTTCGCACTCCGCATAAACGAACCGGAGGTTGAAATTAGTTGAAATTCGACTTCAAATGCGATGGGGTGGNCGACGAAATTTTCGAAGTATGAAATTAGTTGAAATTCGACTTCAAATGCGATTTTCAGGAACGAGTAGCAAAGGTCGACATCGGCAATGGTCGATTCGTGGCGAACGGTCAGAGGTCGATTCGCGAACGGTCATACGTCGATGCCCGAACGCACCGAACCAATCGAACCTAGTTCACCATTGTGCATTTTATTTTACTTTTCATTTTATCGTTTGTTGCAAATGGAGCATTATGTATAGGCTGCTTGTCTTTGCCGTGGACGACACTAAAGACCTCTAAGTTTAAGTAGCTCTCCTAGCAGAACGAGAGCGATAATGGATCAGGAAATTCCATCAATGGTTGTAAATTAAACTAAATTTATGCTTTGTTTCTGACCCTTAAAGTAGATACCTAAGTAAACAGGTCTCGATTTTTAATTTGACCTCGACTGATGAGCAATAAAAGCCTAGCGTCACCATTAATGTCTTCCTTTTCTTCATCAGAGAAAGGCTATGTCCAATAATAGACTTAATTGAAAATGAACTTCGGAGAAACGTTCTCCTCTTAATTTTGCACCATGATTTGAAGAGAAAGGTCTTCAGGATTTTTCCATTCTGATACTTGGAGGGAATTTAAGTTTTTTTAATATCTTTTCTAATAAGACCCAGCTGGGGCGCTAAGTGGCTTTTTTTATTTATTTTTATCTTTTAATGTGATTAGACATACACATCAATGGTGAACCTAGAAAAATTTCCCTTGTGCAAGGAATATGGATTGATAGCATCTCAGAATCGGTGCATTACATGCAATTTTTCTTCATGTACTGATCCGTTATGCTTCAAAATAGTAAAAAATTTAAGAACATCTGAAATGATGCAACTGCAGATAGGATTGTGGTTAAGTGATGTCACCTTCATTATGCATCCCCTTAAAATGGAAGGATTTATAAAATGAACTTCAAATTTCTTCAATGAAAGTGAAAAACTCTTATGAAGTTGCGTGTAAAAATCAATGTCTCATTTCTGTGTTTTCAGAAACAAGTCGCGGTGAAAATGCCTAATTTTTTTTTTAATTTCATGGAAAATAAACTTGATTTTTCTCGTCTTTGAAAGTATCATGTCCTACCGCGATGTGCAAAAAGAATGCTCGATAGGTACCTATGTCATAACTTTTTCAATGTTTGAATTAAAATGTTCCGATTAGGACTAGTGTGAGAAGTTCCAGTTGTACTTCTTTGAGGCTGGGCCTCAGCCGGCTCTTTCACTTTTGCAGTCAAGTATACTTAGTGTTTCATCCTCTTATCTTTTTGTGTTCTTGTTTTCAGCACCCTGTCTCTCTTTAGTAGGGAGCCGAGGCACCCTTCTATGACTCAGTCTTGTCACGTTACAGTATGAGGAACTGCGCAAAAGCAGATTGAAGCAAAGGAAACTGTGTCGGTAGTAAATTCTAGGTATCCTACATGAATGTATTTATTTCCAAGTAACTCCTGTGGGTAACAAAACGTTGGCTTCCACATCAAGAATAAAGTTGTCAAAGTAGAGGCTTGAAAGCAACTTACAATGAAGTAGATGTAAAGACCTGTGATATTAAAGCGTATTAAAGGTCATAAGGAACTTTACCATCAAAGAAATCTTCAGTCATGGCGACTATGACCATGGAGCAGAGACGTTTCCCTCGCTGTATGAGAAAATCTGCCATTAAAGTTTTTCAAGAACAAGAAAAGCTACAGTTTCATCTGCATTTTTCATCAACTTGGTTCTCAAGAAACCTTCAATGATCAGACGCAATGATATGCTCCTTTGGCGTGGTAGCGAGTGGAGATAATCTATGAACTGCTGAAAGACTACTTTTTCCTCAAAAAGTGGATTTTTCCACCTACCTACACGAAAGTCGTAGAATGTCCACTCAATTAGGGCTCAGACTGAAAAATAAATTAATTAATTAATTTAAACTGACTCAAAAACACTTCCGGATTGAACAGCTTCGAT